TGAGGCATATCTACATATTCCCAGGTTCAACGTTTGTTATAATCTGCAGGAAAACTCACTGCAGGGTTCGGGTTACAGAGTAAACATACCAAACACCCATGGCCGGCGGGGACCAACATCTTCAGTAACATTTACATCTGCCAACGCTTAATTCGCAAGTGGTGAGGCAATACGCTAATGAGGCTAAGGGTTCTATACCATGATTGTGAAATATCTATGATGCCTTATATGAAGTCTATAATCTAAGCAAGTCTAGCTATGTATGGCTTCAAGTCACTGCTTGAAGAAAGGCTCCTTTAGAATTTTGTTTGGTAAATATTAGCATTTCACTGACTTAATCATATTGGAAAACACATGGCAACCTATCCTTCATTGTGACTATGATTAAGGTTATTTTCTTTGAGTTAACTGACAGGCTTTCGGTATCAAATATTTGGAACTCCGGCCCAAGGTGATGTTATACTGTCTGGAAATATAGCGTTTTTGTAATGCTTTGGTTGCACTTAATGATAAGTGATTGTTAAATGTGCATATGATGTTTTTGAAGCATAATCTCAGTTGACTCAGAGACTTTGCACGTTTTTTCCCCCACTCTTTCCACACCCATCCTTCGGTTTTTATGTTTGTGACATGATCTGCACACTTATAATTTAAAACAGGTATATAAATACTAACTGTTTGCAATCTTTACCCAGTTTAGTTTTCCATTTATTTAGCAATTTTCAGTTTCTACTATTTTCTGGAAATTTTGTACGGAGGTGCATTTAACAGTTTCACCCAATAACAGTAAAGCATACAGATAATACGTTTCGGTACTTTGATAGGTTAATAAGTTTACATTACATTTCATGATATTGGGATGTCAAAATGATTAACATTAGTATATAATGTATAACAAATCAGACAGCAAAAAGCAAAAATTAAAAACGCATGAGCAACATAAATGATGTCAGGTAGTAAGCTTTCAATAATTACAGAAACTGCTTAGCTATCTAACTTTATGAACTAATTGCAGTCACTAAAGTTTTCTATAATCTACCCCAGAGATGGACTCAAAATAGGTGTACAGTATATTCCGTCGGGTAACTGAAATTTGAGAAAACGTCCGTATGGGACAATATCTGTATTCCGAATCAAAAAGAGGCCATCCCAAGTAGTGGTGTAACGATTCATCGATAGTATCGATGTTTGCATAGTCAGCTATGCGATACGAATGCATCAATACAAAACACATTTAGGCAATACATCAGGATATTTATATCGCGAGGGTTCATGATACATCGATGTATCGCCACAAGAGACGATATATCCCGATACTACTTAAGTACTACTTAAAGTTGTAAGGAGTATTGCATTAGGAATAGGAAGGGAGTCTCTTTGAAATCCTTCTGAAATTTAAAAACAAATTGAACCTTATAGGAATTTGTTTGTATCTGTTACATGAACAAAGGAGTTGGTGTAGAAGTGAAAGAGTGTGAACATGTTTCAAACTCTGAGAACTGTACAATACTTGTCTTCATGTAATTGAAATATGTTTTAGTTGTTTGACACATAACACCATCTATTCACAACTATGAATGGTGTCTTACCTTTGTTAAGAAAGAGAACAAAGATAAGATACAATTTAGACAGCAGACTAAAGAGTTTTTTTCAGTGATTCTGATATAAATTACATTGAATTGTTTGTGAAAGAATTGGTGTAGAAACACAACTTCCCAAAGGAAACTTCAGTTTCAAATTCATTTTCAGGAGTGCTGACCATGTTTGACTGAACCTTCTTCAACATGAAATGCTGAAATTATATTAGCTCAACAACTTTTTAAGTGTGTGTGTGTGTGTGAGTGTAACACAGGTTTTAATGAATTTATAACTATTTTAAGTCACGATATGGCTGAAATATTGCCACTATGACTATAAACTTTAACTCACTCACTCACTCACTCACTCATGATATATCGTCTCGCCTCATTAAACTGGTATCAGGATATATCGTCTCCCCGCTTAGGCTACGAAACACAGCTCTAATACCAAGTATGTGCATATTAACACATTTACAACTGTTACAGAAATTTACATCGGGAATCAGTAATGCATTGTAATCATCCTTTTTGAAAGTATAGATAGTTATGATCATGAGTATGACAAGTGTGCACTAAAATAAGGGACCTACCGGTTCATGTATGTGTGAACACACCTGTCTGTGTTTTATTGCAATAAGCAGTCTCTCCTTGTATGTCATATATAGGAAGTGTACCTAAGGTCAGATAAATTTAAACTATAATGTAATTTCCATTGCAAAAAGTATAAACGGTATTACCTACCGATCAGAAAGGCTTATCAGTACCCCACTGCCACCACACCACCCTATGCCTACCCTATCCCACACCCTCTCCCACCCACACACATGCACACACGTGCACACACTCCCTAACATACATATCGCTCTGGTCCATAGACCCAATATTGGAACCTTTTAAACAGACATCATGTGTCAAGAAAGGCAGGCACGTTAATAGTGGTGCTCAGTGATGGCTATCACTTCGCCATGTGTTGCTAATGATCTCCGTGCATTATGGCGTAGTCCAACGCGCTAACGAACCCGATGTGACAGTTACATTACAGAAGCATTGAAATACATGTTAAAGTAGTGTTAATCTTGTAAAACTATATTTACCAATTACCAACCATTTACGCGTGTACTAAATATATGACAAACCCAACCCTGGTCATACGGGATTTCAAAGGTATTAAATTGAATGTCCTACAATCACAGCATTTACATATGTTACACATGCTAGAAAACACATGAAAACAATGGGCAGATTTACACACCTGTGAAATACATGTAAAGACAGAATTGAGTGTTCGTTTATTTTAACATCCCTTTAAACGTGTGTAAATCTGACAGCCAGATGATACGTAGATTTCAAACGTTTGTTCATATGGACGCCGGATGAAACGTATATTTCCTAACGTTAGTAAATTTGGGTAATATAGTCATTTTGTGTGGTGGTACCGGTAGTTGTTGATCCTATACAGACAGAATAGATCAAGTGACAAGTGTGGACTAATGAAGAGGCCTCGGCACATCCCACTTACAGAGCGTGCCAACGGGCTTTCAGATGGAATTTACAAAACAAAGTTTTGCCATTTGGGATCAGGAACGCTCAAACGTTTTTAAATCAATATATGTCATTTAGCAACCTCTCCACAAGTTACCTTGGCAACAGGGTAAAAAGTTTGGCCGATTGGCAGTGACATTGGTACAGGAGAAAGTGAATCAGGCCTTTCTCATCATGTTTGTTATATTTCACCAACATTTGACATTGTCAGATAAGTTATTACAATAATAAAGAAACTTACTCTTGCATAAAATGAAGATAATATACAGCGCCTAATGCGCTGGAGTCAGTATTCACGGAAATTGGACCCATACAATCATATTTAATGCAAAAACATCACTGGTTCATCAATGGCAGGGGCGGTGGGGTAGCCTAGTAGTTAAAGCGTTCGCTCGTCACGCCGAAGACCCGGGTTCGATTCCCCACATCGGTACAATATGTGAAGCCCATTTCTGGTGTCCCCCACCGTGATATTGCTGGAATATTGCTAAAAGCGGCGTAAAACTGAACTCACTCACTCACTCACTCATCATTGGTACGAGTAGTTTGAATATGATCAGTGCCAACTGCAAACGTGACTAGATATGTTTATGACTATCTCATAATGATCACGTTTAATGTTTATTTCTGTTTACCGTACTTCGCTTGAATGTGATGTGTTGTGACCGCAAATATGATTCGCGCTGATACATACAACCCTTATGTTTAGAACGTGGAATGTTTCCTAGTATATAACATACTTATCAGATTTTGACCAGACATTAGCAGCAAACGTTCACACTTCCTTTGTCTGAAGGAGAGTGTTTATTGCAGTGTAATATTTCTGAAGATGGTTACCTGATTGTATTTTATTGGTATTGTTATCATTCAATAGAAGGCCATAACAGTGTGTTTAAACAATAATATGTTGTCAGGAATGCATCTCTATCTACTGGAAGCACTGACGTTTCAGTGCTGTCGCCACTTCATACTGTAATGCTAACTAATGGTTCTGTTATTCTTACAGTTAAAATTATCAGTATTCCTAACTCAGTCATGTGGAAATGTTTAGAATTATCAGTATTAATTAATTTATAACCTTTTCTAAGAATGGTAGTAGCAAATATTCAAATATGTTACAATAAGGTTTTAGTTGGTTTTTAGCGCCTACGAACATTCGCCTGTTTGTAGTGTTGTATTCAGCCGAACATGGCTTCAAGTCACGAGATTTTCACAATCAAAATTGTCTCTGTATTCATTATTTAGCTTGGAATTCTAACGAATAAATTATTCATCGACGTCAACATCCATAACGAAAAAGGAACACCTGTTAATTCTGTTCTGTTTATGCTAGAACGAGTTTTCAGCTTTAACATCTGGGCAGTCACATGTAGAACGCACTATTTACGCGAACACACACGCTCCAAACGTATTAGTAAGTGGGGTTTAACGGGTTTGTGAACGTATTCCGGTTAAAAAGGCGGGTGCTAACTGAACGAGTGTGATGGAAGTCTCAGATGTTTACAGCATGAACACCATGAGCACGGCCCGTGAAGACAAACCTGGAAATCATAATCGAGGCATTTTGGGTGTGACCAACGGACGCAACCTTCCACAGCAAACTCAACCCAACGGAAGTTAAAAAAGATTATTCCAAATCTGCATCCTCGTGAGGATCTGGTTAGAGTTGATGTTCCTTGTCGCGTATGGCGACCGACGGGATCGGGTGGACTTGGTTAATGAGTCAGATCATCATATTCCAGTGGCGCAGATCGTTGCTCGTGTTGTCAAATAGTGGATTGTCTGCTTACAATCAGCCATCGTATGGCCAGAATAAAGCTAACGTTAAAGAACCAGATATAAAAAAAACATGTAATGAACTCAAACAAACAAACAAACCTGCAAGAGAGGACATGCTGAAGAATAACGAACCAAGCCAGACCGTAGCGTCAACATCAGCGCGGTACGCCTCCAGTAACGCTACATGGAACACTCCAGAGGCATAACTGAGACTTGAGTTGAAGAACAACGTCATGAACGACAGGGCGATAATGAAGTAGGAATACCAGCCTTGTTTCTGGACATCGCCATCCTTTTCCATCATCTTGACCACAACGACCACCCCTGAAACAGCACATTGCCAAGTAGAATATGGGCCCGTGGGCGAGATAACAACCTAATTGAATGCAACCCTTACCTCCACCACAGATACGCCCACATCTACAGTGACATCCTGAAATAGCCAAACATGAAATGAGAATATCGCGACGCTGCGTGATGTGGCGGTATCGATCGAGCATCCCCCAGTCGTTACTATCCACTTACTCTACCTGGTATTAGAAGCTGATCCGGTCATAGACGGGACATTCTGTGAGCCGGGGCTATTCGGTGCTCGTAGTGTAGTGTGTCTGGCATTCATATCAGATCAGATCATCAGTTATTCGAATCACAAATTTACTCTGATTAATTATATTTTTATTATTAGTACCATTTGTTTGTTTGTTTGTCAACACCGCACTCATCAGTATTCCAGCTATATGGCGGCGGTCTGTAAATAATCGAGTCTAGACCAGACAATCCAGGGATTGACATCATGATCATCGATCTACGCAGCTGGGATACGATGACATGTGTTCACCAAGTCAGCGAGCCTGACCACCTGATCCCGTTAGTCGCCTCTTATGACAAGCATGGGTTACTGAAGATCAATTCTTGAACCAGTAACATACCCATGATCGTTGATTTCATTGAAATATTATCATCACTCCGTGTTTTATAAAGCCTATAGCCAAATCAGGAGTATTTACAGTATCTTGACAAAGATATAGCATTGACTGTGGGTAAAACACATTGCTTTGTCTAAATGTAGTCAATAAGTAATGGAATTGTATTGTTTCATCTTGTTTTATACAAACGTAATGTCGATTTATATGTATAGCAAAAGTTTTGTTAATATTTAATTTAAGCAAATAAGTTAATTAGTTCTTGATGATATATTTCGGAAATAATACAATTACATGATTTCTTTCTTTCCTTGCTTAAATTAAAAAACACAACTATGATTGACATTATCAAAAGCATAACATAGGGTAAGTTTGAATTTTTCTGGAAAAGAAACTTTGCTCTTAATTACGGTTTCAATCCCTAGATTGTCCATATAAAGCTGCTATTCATAATTTTATATAACTGTCACATCACACAAATTTACATTAGCAATAGAGGGAGTAAGAACAATTGATTTAATAGGGGCAGTATAGGGTTACAAACAGCCACTGCGAGATGCGTAAGAACTCCCTTCACTGATTATCTTCGTCGACCCTCTACTTTTACTCGCCTCACTGAGTTGGGTTAATGTTTTGTAATGGATATGAAAGAATGTTCTGTCTCTTTTATTACAGTAGGAAGCCACTGTAAGGCACCCCGATATTGCCTGTAGCGTGTTGCTGTGATTCAGTTAACAGAGTGTGACGAGAGTTGGCAACTTACCCCGTCAAGTGGGTCGTCACCCCAGCGCGCGCCACACGAGCTCGTGGTTGAACAGTACATTATAAAATATTAATTCATCTGTATGTACACACACCAGAGCTATCTGAAAAAGTGTCGGAGAGATTCTAAAGGCGATATCGGATACACCTTTAGAAATGCATCTGTGAGGAGTACCGTATACAATAAAATTGCTTTAAGTTACAGAAATGGTTGTCTGTGGCAACGACATCACGTATGGAGGGATGCTTAACCCATTCCCTTTATTCGACCTGCCGAGGTCAGCGATCTCGGTACCTTGTCAATATACGGAGAGAGGCTACTTACACAATCGCACTTCCACACAACACAGTATTTGCTTAGCCACTGCAAAAATATGTTTACAGAGAAGTTTGAGGTCGTCATTGAGTATTTTTGTGGGTCGCGAATATTGGGTTACTTTGTTTGCGTGTGTGGAGTTGAAGACGGGGGGAGTGTTTATAAACTCCCCCTGACCAGAATAGGGACATGTATCCTGACACAATCTATAGTAAATTTAATATTTACAGATTTGACTGATATCCCTCACAGGTCAGTTAATATAAACAAAAGCGACAAAATAATTTCAGTAAATATAAATAGAGCGTCAGTTTAAACAAATATAAATATATTTATATTATTATCATACAGAACAAATTTATTGGATGTGAAAGGCTAACAAGCAATGGAATTTATATGAATGGGTCTATGAATATAATGAAATTGATATTTAGCAATAATATGAAATAATCCATAACATATATAAATACAAACATTGGCATATACAGCCTTAGTTTATACCTTCATCATGAAAGCATATCCTGTGACGAATTCCGTAGTGACAAACAGATTGGCAGCATGTATATTTATATCGCTGTAACGCCATGGCGAAATAAGCCCTTCTTCGCTGGATTAAATGTTACATTCATAAAGCACATATGTGTTACACCTTTGAGGCTTATTGTCCTGAACGCCTCAGACTTATGCGAATTCACCATAGCGCCAGGTCATGTATGGCGGCAAGCCAGCACTCATGACCTAATTTAGTGTGTTCGTCAAGGGAAAGGTGTTACACATATATTTTGAATATTTATGTTACATTTTCTTAACGACTTAATACATTTCGATCACCTGCTATCGGCAAATTCGGCTACAAGGCCTAGGGAAAAAGAATATTTCGTGTTATACCATTGAATGGAAAATAGAGAAAATTCCTATATTTAGCACAAGCGAAGGAATTGATCGAACACGGAACTATATGGATGTGTGGAAGGCAGACCACAGATCCCAGCGACTATGGTTCATCGAGCAGTGTGAAGTACACACAAACGTTGGGCTAGCAGCCCTTAATGTTCTTCCTCGGCCCGTCCAGACAGCTCATATATGTTATCATGTACAGGCCGCATTCCAAAAGGAACCGTTTGTTTCAGTGAACCCTGCTGTTGGCAGATTGTCAAACGTGTGTTCTACGCTTCTAATATATATATGGCTCTCTCATCTTCTATTCAGAAGACAGATAGAGTTGCTTACCTCGAGAGAAGGTTTCGATTGACAGGGAAGTCTCACATCGGATGTAATACGTCACGTGATCGCCAAGGGTAACCGCTGGTTCAGCGTGCGTGTGTATCTGAATATGGGGCAGATCGATTAAGTTATGACTGCAATAATCTGTTTTCGATTTTATGTCAGATTTTATGTGTTATACATCTGTACAATATACAGTGGGTTCGAAAGTTGTTTTGACATTTTTTCTGATCGTTCCACTTGTTGGCAGGAAACGAGCGTTGGCTCGTCACGCCGAACACCCGGGTTCGAATCCCCACATGGGTACAATGTGTGAAGCCCATTTCTGGTGTCCCCCGCCGTGATGTTGCTGGAATATTGCTAAAAGCGGCGTAAAACCATACTCAGTCAGTCAGTCAGTGGCAGGATACGCTCATATTTTCGCAAACACCTAGTATCATTAGAATTTGACTTATGATTGAGGTTGCACAATTTTTGAAAAGATGACATTGGTCTGAGCCAGGTAGAATATCATAGTCTTGGATACTACTCCCTGTAGAGGCTTAAATGATTTACAGTTACCATTTCAACATTTGTTTCGATTCAATTCCTTATTACAGACGTGTAGACCATCGGCTCATAACTACAGAGGTTACATTGTACATGGTGTGTACAGTACAAATTAATAATATTAACAGCTTAGATACATTGCATAATAAATAGAGCTTGCTAAAATATTGATAAGGTTACAATGTGATGATGATTGAAGAGTTTGAATTTGGCTTTACTTGGATTGGTACAATAGGTTTTAGGTAAATTTGCTACCTTTAATCGTTAAAAGTACGCTTGAATTCAGAGATCGTGTTGGTTCAATCAGTTGTTTACGGATACTGTACTCACAAATGGTTAATTAAATAAAGATAGAACATATAGATTATTAAAGTGTCCCCGAGTACGCACTAGCTATTAGGGAGAGATTAAAACAAAGTCTACTGGCAGAATTCAGATATGGCCCACGTCCTCCAAAGTAGAACTAGACAGCTCCTCTGGTCCGAAAAACTCCTTTAGATACGTATCTTCCCCTGCTCTGTTAATGAGGAAGAATAGCAATGTTCTTAATTCACGTGAGCGTCATTCAGACTAGAGGCTGTGTCTATTTGGCTTAGATTTCCCCTATTCACTTCGATGTTTCCTATTGAATGGTTAACATCTATATGTGAACTGAGGATTCATGTCAACCATCAGCTGCATACGTTCAACAGTATAACTAACATACTATAAAACATAGTCGGATCCAGTGTGTGTGTGTGTGTGTGTGTGTGTGTGTGTGTGTGTGTGTGTCTTTTGTCCTGAAAGTTTATTATATGACCCGTGAAAATGTGCACCCACCCCCTTTCTCAAAAAGCTGTATCCGCCCCTGTTTTATACTTTAACTGTCCAATCAAATTCATATTACTATAGATACTTAGATACACAGACGGTTTTTTATGAATACAAATATGTAAAACGTATTCTCACCCGTGAAGGTCCGGGTTAGAATGTGCCTTCAGTAATCCCTGCTTGTCGTATGAGGCGACTAAGGGGATCGGGTGGTCAGGCTTGCTGACTTGGTTGACACATGTCATCGATTCCCAATTGCGCAGATCGATGCTCATGCTGTTGATCACTTGATTGTCTGGTCCAGACTCGATTATTTACAGACCGCCGCCATATAGCTGGAATATTGCTGAGTGCGGTGTAAAACTAAACTCACTCACTCACTAAAACGTATTCTCACATACGTGTACTTAAAACATATTGTCTCATAAGCCAGTATATTTTATTCCGTAGCTCATATAATGACTCATATTTTAGAGATAGAGAGATATATTTATTCAGTAATTCGGCCTTATAGCCTAGAATGCAATTGCATTTTGATAGTAAACGTTTTGTACAATACCAGGCGCGTAGCAAGCCATTTACTTCGTGTAAGGTTTGTATTTAGATAATGGTGAGGGCTTGTTCAACATTCATGTGTAAGCCCGGGCTTTTTTATAATGGTAGCTACGCCCCTGAATGCAACATTGTTTTATGCATCCTATGTGACATGTTAATATAATATACTAGTATATTATCTGTAACTTATAGACAAGAAGATAAGGCGAAGTGGGTTGACAAAAAATGAAAACGACAATTAATAAGTCATAAATCAATAAGTCATAATGCGCAATATGATTGGCTATGCTTCAGGTCCCTATTCTCCACCTCCCCTTTATGTCGCCATTGGTACACGAGAGCATGCTCTTTCTTCTACCCTTGCTGAAACGCTGCTTGATCAAAGTGAAAACACCCAAGGTCTTGAGGGGGCTTTCTAATGATTTTATTGCAGAGACATTGAGGTCATGTCCAGTGACAAAATACCTTATTTTGACTTGTACCATATGTTCCCGTGTGCCTTTTTCAGACGAACAATTAATTTGCCTTTGCGTATGTTTGTAACGGATGCCAGTGGTGGAACAGGATACGCTCACATGTCTTGAATCGATGAAACAACAAAAAGACTCCAGCTATCATCTTAAATCAATCCTATAATCACTACATGTTTGTAACTCGTCATGTTCAGCTGACTTTTTTCCGTTGATATTCAGTCTACCAGATACTTTGTTGGTGTTGAAAATGCCTTTCGTGCATGTTGTTTTTGTTGATCCTTTTTTAGATGTGTACAAGTCTGCCATGCCTTACTTCAGTCTTGACAACAGGGATTCCAAAAGGTCGCCTCATTACAGGACAAGGAAGCTGTCATTCATAAAATATCTTGATTTATCACCATCTTTGTGTCTTTAACATGTAAAATGCCATTCAAAGTAGATCTTTAGTTATTAATTCAAAGAGTTCATGACAATAATTTATATATGGGTCAAGATGATTAATCTGTCGGGAGCTAATATTATCGTATTCTGATAAAGGAAAACATCCTTTCAATTGTAAAACAACTCTGACTCCTACAGCAGACCTTGAAACCAATGCCTATATAGTCAAGGGGGTTCAATCCAGAAACCATTCCAGAATTTTTCACTAAATTATATGCCTCTGAGTCAAAGAAGATACAAAACAGAGGGTTAATTTATTTAACATTTGTTTCTCTTTTTAATCATGCCTACTGTACAGGATAACAAAAGATAAACCAGCGTCTTCACTTTGCGAGGGACGGTTGGGTAGCCTAATGGTTAAAGCGTTCACTTGTCACTCCGAAGATCCGGGTTCGATTCCCAATATGGGTACAATGTGTGCAGCCCATTTCTGATGTCCGCCAACCGTGATATTTCTGGAATAATGGTAACAAAACTTCACTCACTCACATGGGCGCAGTCACGAGTGTCGGCGTGCTGCCCCTTTCCTAGTGGACTACCGTCAGCTTCATTTATATCTCTTCTATATTGATCTTTGATGCCGGTTGATGTGACACAATATAGCCTGACTGTTTATAGCTAGATTGTCTACTAAATATACTGCTGGTTACATACGCTCTTCAGAAACTGTGTATATTATGATATGCAAATAACTTTTCTTGTTCTGCTATTATGCTGTGGTGTTGTGCCAAATCCAGGCACAGTTGAGATTAAGATTGTGCGCAGTTTAAAAAATAAAGTCGACTTAGTTAAAGCAAAAATAGACTCATATGATGTTGACATTAAGATTGTTGAATGTGCGCAGTTTAAGATAAAGTAGACTTAGGTAAAGCAGAACTAGGGTCATATGATGTTGACATTAAGATTGTTCAACGTGCGCAGTATAAAAGATAAAGTCGACTTAGGTAAAGCAGAACTAGACTCATATGATGTTGACATTAAGATTGTTCAACGTGCGCAGTATAAAAGATAAAAGATAAAGTAGACTTTGACTAAAAATCAGAACTAGACTCATATGATGTTGACATTAAGATTGTTCAATGTGCGCAGTATAAAAGATAAAGTAGACTTAGGTAAAGCAGAACTAGACTCATATGATGTTGACATTAAGATCGTTCAACATGCGCAGTATAAAAGATAAAGTAGACTTAGGTAAAGCAGAACTAGACTCATATGATGTTGACATTAAGATCGTTCAACGTGCGCAGTATAAAAGATAAAGTAGACTTAGGTAAAGCAGAACTAGACTCATATGATGTTGACATTAAGATCGTTCAACATGCGCAGTATAAAAGATAAAGTAGACCTAGGTAAAGCAAAACTAGACTCATATGATGTTGACATTAAGATTGTTCAACGTGCGCAGCATAAAAGATAAAGTAGACTTAGGAAAAGCAGAACTAGACTCAAATGATGTTGACATTAAGATTGTTCATATGATGTAATATGGTAACATAATGGTGCTTTAACAATACTAGTTCTATGCATGGTTCCTCCTACCTTCCAGGAAAGATAGGGTAGGAGGAGCGGAGGCGTTTTCAATTATGTCACGGATATACTATGTGTACACCAAATGGATCAATTAGATATAGTTGAGCTTGCGGCAATATGGGTCCATATCAGTTGCAAACACAGACAACATGTAAAAGGTACTTTCTACTGTGCGGCTGATAAAATCCAGCCGTACTGCCATGTTATTGAACCGTCGGTTGGCAATGCTATTGATATGCATATAACTCTTCGAACGAAATACCTAAAGCCATACTATTATAAGCATCCAAATGTAAGAACATTAATGTCCTTGTTAACAGATACTACCACAATATTATTACAGAATCTGGCAATGTACAGCTATTTCGTTATGAGTTTAAGAAAAAGGATTGTTATAGAAAAGAATTGGAAATGACATCTAACTACTCATGTAAACCTATAATGTACTACATGCCTGCGACCTATATAAGTACTGAATAAAGGTTGATTGAATATGCATGTAAGCACTGTTATTGTTGGTGACTTGATATGATATGACAAATGACAACAGACAAATAATAGATCAGTTGATGGCGAAATATGGTTTGATATCGCTACGTTCAAGTACACTGACCCACTACGGGTTTCCGATATAGATATCGTTTTGTAGTGACAATTTACCACTCTATGCTATAAAAGATGTCATACTCATCTCTTTCCAACCCACACCCCCACCCTCCTAATCAAAGAAAACAACAGAAAACCA